ATCTCACATTGGACCTTTGATCCAATATTTGGGCCAACAATTGTAACCACTAAATATACATAATAATTTTGAAAAAATGGTATTTTTTTAAATTTCTCAACAAAATAAGCCCCAGACAAAATCGAACATTGTAGAGTTTCGCAAAAAGACAAGGCAAATAGAGGGATCGATCTCTACAAAATCTGAATCGTTTGTTGAAGTTTAACAGAGAGACGAACCTTAAGGTACGAGATCCAGAGAGAGAGGAGGAGGTCGAAGGAGTTACAAAAGCTTTGGATCGACGAGAGATTCGGATCTCGTGAAACAAACACTCGCACAAAGTGAGATCCATCCGATTATTATTATGGTTGAATCGTCTTGTAGAGATCCATCCGATTATTATTTTTTTTCTTCCTCTCGTTTGATTTGGAGACGAAGAACGACAAAAGCGAGTCAAAGCCCCAAATATTGATTGATGAAAAGCCCAGTCCAGTGAAAATATAGTGCCCTACGTTTTTGATTAAGCCCAAACTTTATAAAGTGAGCTTAATTAGGATTTGTCGATTTAGGAGACAATTTTGGTTAGAATTGTACTTGGTTAAGTACGAGACCAACTCTAATTTCGCAACAAAAGATAGTCAACTAATTTGATATTTGTTCGTCTAAGTGTTTTCTTTGTCGATGCTATTATATAAACTAGGACTCTCAACCTCCGTGAGATCACATGAGTAAAGAATCTCCAACTATATATATTTCTTTTTAAAATTTACTGTCAACACAACCAAAGCTAAAATTTACTTTCGATACACATGCATGTGAATGTAATCTATAATCATATCTAATGGATTTTAAAACACAGTTATTATTAATTTTCAAGTTTAACCCAAATCATATTTACGAAAAAAACATGTAATGAAAAATAAAACAATTTACATCTTGTTTGCAACAAATTGAGAACAAATGAAGCTTACTACCAATGTCTTTCTCTTTACTTTCTAATCTATAATATACGGGGGTTTCGGCTTATTTGTATCCGCACTCTAGAGTAGTGCGAAAATTTATACCGACTTTTTCGAAATGTGCGTAAAACTACCCAAACTCTTTATAATTTAAATTTTCGTACCCAAACTAATTAAATTAGGCATATTTGTACCTCATCGATTATGGTGTTAAATTCTCCGTTAACTCCGCTTGGGGTTTCGGCTTATTTCTACCCGAACTACTGGCAAGTACAAAAATTTTTATCTGCTTTGTCAAAGAGTGCGTAAAACTACCCAAACTTTTTATAATATAAATTTTCATACCCAAACTAATTAAATTAGGCTTATTTATAAATTTTTTTTTAATGAAATGAAACGAAAACTGAGTTAATGAGTCGGATAAAAATTTATGATAAAAACTTAGTTCATTTCATAAAAAAAAAAATTATGAAATGAAACAAAGACTGAGTTAATGATAGAGGGACATAGCATTATGAAATGAAACATAGTATTAAGTTAATGAGTCGGATAAATTTTTTTTTTTATGAAATGAACTAAACTGCAGAAGAAAAAGATGTTCATTTCATAAAAAAAAATTTATCCGACTCATTAAAAACAAAATTTAATCTGACTCATTAACTCATTCAACATCCTTAACGGAGAATTTAACACTGTAAACCTTGAGGTATAAATAAGCCTAATTTAATTAGTTTGGGTACGAAAATTTAAATTATAAAAATTTTGGGTAGTTTTACGTACTCTTTGACAAAGCAGGTAAAATTTTTTGTACTTGCCAGTATTTCGGGTAGAAATAAGCCGAAACCCCAAGCGGAGTTAACGGAGAATTTAACACCGTAATCGATAAGGTACAAATACGCCTAATTTAATTAGTTTGGGTACGAAAATTTAAATTATAAAGAGTTTGGGTAGTTTTACGCACCCTTCGACAAAGCGGGTATAAATTTTCGCACTACCCTAAAGTACGGGTACAAATAAGCCGAAAGCCCATAGTATACATGCTTAATTACACGTATACTG